CAGAATCTATCAATAAACATTTGCAGTTTTCTAATGAGTGTCCTGATTGATTAAAGTGTTCAGCTATTGGGGAATAAGGATTGTTTTGACGTATGGTATGTTTATGATTGTTGAAGCGACATCTAAAATTATTTTCAGATTCACCAATATATCCACTATTAGAACATAAGGTGCAGAATAAATAGTAGATTATGTTATGGCTATCACAGGTGAGGTGAGGTGGGTGTATCTTGATATTGGTGTTGGGTACAGAAAATACGTTATCTATTATTAAGTGTTTGCAAACTAAGCAACGAGGTTTGTTACATTTGTAATTTCCTGATTGGTTTGTATTGTTTAGATATTTGGTAGAGGTGAGGATAGCTGATAGGTTAGGTGATTGTTTCTTTGCATTTATGGGTGGTTTATCGAAAATGTCTTTGACTTTGATCTTTTTGCCTAACTGGAGGTCCTTGTAATCCTTTTTTTAAATTGTGAATAGGTGTATGGGAATATTGATTGTGGTTAAAAACCATAGGAATCCGGTTGTTGTTTTTACTTTTCTTGTATGTGAGAAGTGTGTTACGATTTATGTGGATAGTTTTATTTAGTGCTTCTTTTATTATTTTTATTGGGTATTTACATTTTAGGAATTGTTTTGTTAACTTATTAATGTTGTATAGAAAATCTAGATGGTCTGAGCATATGCGTTTGATTCTTAGAAATGAGCTGTATACAATAGATTTTTTTTAATTTAAGGGGATGACAGCTGTTAAAGTGCAGGAATTTATGTTGGTTTGTGGGTTTGTTGTATAGACTGGTAGAAAGTGTATGTTTGTTTAATTTTATCATAACGTCTAAGAAAGGGATGGATGTGTATGAGTGCTCCATGGTAAATTTAATTGTATCGTGGAAATTGTTGCAGAAAGTGAAAAAGGTTTTTAATTTTTCTGATCCATGAGACCATAGTAAGAAAATGTCATCAATATATCTAAAGTAATGTGATGGTTTATATTCTGAATTGTCTAGTATCTTCCTTTCTAGAATGTGCATAAAGATATTAGCATAACTAGATGCCATTTTCGTGCCGATTGCTGTGCCACTAATCTGTAAATAGTGTTTGTTGTTGAATTTAAAATTATTATGTGATAAAATGAAATTTATTAATTGGCATATATATATATATATATATATATATATATATATATATATATAGATAGATAGATAGATTAGTTGAATAGATAGATTAGTTGAATTCCCAGATCAATTCTGTGGACAAGACAGATTAGTAGAAAATGACAAAAAAATTCCTTACTATAAAGGTAATTTATAAAGGGCATTATTAAGCTTATATAATTTGGCATATAAATTCTACCTATATATATATATATATATATATATATATATATATATATATATAAAAGAAAAAACAAATACCGAGGGTCACAAAGCACTGCCCTTGGCACCCAAACAGCCCCCCATCCCGGTCAGGGATTTCAGCAGGAGGTACGCAGCGGTCCTGACAATTATACCTATCGGTACTAATATAACATAAGACAGTTCTTCGTTTTGAAGTATGGCCATCACTGATTATACGAAAAGAATAAAGTCTCACTTTTTAAATCTGTCGTTATTTAGGCTGAAAAATGAAAATTAAACTTTTAATCGTAAATGTTAAGAATATTACCTTTGCTTACAAGACATCGGTTTGCAGATTGTACCTCGAAGAAAAACGTTACATTTCCGCGGTAAGCTCTGCTGATGAGAAATGGTTTCTTTGCAAGAATTATAAATACATTTTAATCAAAATTCTTTCTTTATCTGCCTTTTACCCTATAAATGGCCGCTTTCATCATTCTCACAAATTTCTTTGTCTTGTCAATTATCGTGTGTTTTTCTTTTTCCTGCCAAGCAAAAGATTATTTAATAACTAGAACTCTTGGGGAAGTTCTTAACATAATAACAGTTTCGATACTCAAAAAAAAAAGATAATGTTAAATTCAATATTACTTCGATAGAAAGCAATTTATATTAATGCAGTATGTCTTCATAAAAATTTGGTTTAAAATATTTACTTAGAACAATAATTCGAGCAATTTCAGCAAACCGTGTGGCTTCTCTTCAGACTTTTCGATAAAATGGCATCGCGTGATTACACGTGTACGAACATAAAATCACTGCTTAAACGTAACTATAAAGACTTGTTTTTTTATGCTAGCCATTAATGAAAAATGGATCCTTCAGGCATAAACGATAATTAAAAAAAATGATTTATTAATTAAATGATTTGGTACAGAGAAGTGACATATTAGAGAGTTAAATTATAAACCACAGGTTGGCTTCACGATTGTTGACAAAATATAAATGTGCCTGAGAAGGTGTCTACGATATGGATTAGCTAGCCCTCCTAGAATATGCCATCTGAAGGAAGGAAAAGAACAGAAAGAGAAGGGCGAATAGAAATATATAGGAAGAAGGGGGGAAATGAAAGAGGAGTCAGAACAGAGGTAGTGGAGAGAGGAACAGAAATGAGAGGGCGTTGAAAAGATGTAGTAGTATGAGGAGATAGAAAAGAAGTAGGAAGTAGAAACAAAGAAAAATGAAGAAGAAGAAGAAGAAGTGTGAATGGAAAGACATAGGAAGAAGGAGGAAAAAAAGGAAGAGTAGAGAGGAAAAAGTTAGGGGAGAGAAGAAGAGAAGTGAGAGTTGGTTGAATAAATGGAGTATTAGTATGAGGAGGTGGAAGAGAGGAACTAGGGAAAGATCGAACGAAATATAAAAGAAAAGAAAAAATAGTTGGAGAAGTATAGAGAAGAGAAGTAGTAAGAGGAGGAGGAGGAACGGAATAGAGAAATCCAAAACAAAGGCAAGAGGGAGGAAGAGAGAGAAGAGGGAAGACGAAATATAAAATCAAGAAAAAAGGGAAGGAAGAAAAGAGAAAGAGTATAAAAGTATAAATGCGTCGGAAATTTTGAAAGTAAGAAAGAAAGAAAGAATTTGTGAGTAAAAATGGATGAAAAGAAAAAAGAGAAAAAAGAAACAGAAAATGAATATGAGAAAGAAAAAAGAAGAAACATGACGAGAAAGAAAGAAAGAATTTGTGAGTAAAAACTTAGGGAAAGAAAAAAAGAGAAAAAAGAAACATAAAATAAACATAAAGAAAATGGAAAAACATGAAAAGAAAGAAAGAAACAAAGAAAGTGTTTGTGAGTAAAAGAGAGCAGAAAAAAAGAAAAGAAACAAAAATAAATATAAGAAAAACGAAAAACATGAAAAGAAAGAAAGAAAGAAAGAGTTTGTGAGTAAAAACGAAAAACCTGATGAGAAGGAAAGAAAAGAAAGAAAGACAGAAAGGATTTCTGAGTAAAAACGGAGGAAAGGAAAAAAGAGAAAAAATAAACATAAAGAAAAATGTAAAACATGTCAAAAAAAGAAAGAAAGAATCTGAGAGTAAAAACGGAGGAAAAGAAAAAAGAGAGAAAAAAAACAGAAAATAAACATAAGAATGAAAAAAGAAAAATACAACAGAAACGAAAGAAAGAAGTTGTGAGTAAAAACTGATGAAAAGAAAAAAGAGAAACAAAAATAAATATAAGAAAGAAAAACGAAAAGCATGACAAGAAAGAAAGAAAGAAAAAATTTGTGAGTAAAAACGGAGGAAAAGAAAAAAGAGAAAAACGAAAAAGACCATAAACATAAAAAAGAAGAAACATGACGAGAAAGAATGAAAGAAAGAAAGAAAGAAAGAAAGAAAGAAAGAAAGAAAGAAAGAAAGGAAGAAAGAAAGAAAGAAAGAAAGATTTTGTGAGCAAAAACGGAGCAAAAGAATAAAGCGAAAAAAGAAACAGAACATAAACATAAAATAGAAGAAACATGACGAGAAAGAAAGAAAGAAAGAAAGAAAGAAAGAAAGAATTTGTGAGTAAAAACGGAGGAAAAGAAAAAAGATAAAAAAGGAAAAAGAATATAAATATAAAAAAGAAGAAACAGACGAGAAAGAAAGAAAGAAAGAAAGAGTTTGTGTGTAAAAACGGAGGAAAAGAAAAAAGAGAAAAAAGAAACAGAAAATAAACATAAAAAAGAAGAAACATGACGAGAAAGAAAGAAAGAAAGAAAGAAAGAATTTGTGAGTAAAAACGAAGGAAAAGAAAAAAGATAAAAAAGGAAAAAGAATATAAATATAAAAAAGAAGAAACAGACGAGAAAGAAAGAAAGAAAGAAAGAAAGAGTTTGTGTGTAAAAACGGACGAAAAGAAAAAAGAGAAAAAAGAAACAGAAAATAAACATAAAAAAGAAGAAACATGACGAGAAAGAAAGAAAAAAAGAATTTGTGATTAAAAACGAAGGAAAAGAAAAAGAGAAGAAAGGAAAAAGAACATAAACATAAAAAAGAAGAAACAGACGAGAAAAAAAGAAAGAAAGAAAGAATGAAAGAAAAAAGAAAGAAAGAAAGAAAGAATATGTGAGTAAAAACGGAGGAAAAGAAAAAGAGAAAAAAGAAACAGAACATAATCATAAAAAGAAGAAACAGACGAGAAAGACAGAAAGAAAGAAAGAAAGAAAGAAAGAAAGAATTTGTGAGTAAAAACGGAGAAAAAGAAAAAAAGAGAAAAAAGAAACAGAACATAAACATAAAAAAGAAGAAACGTGACGAGAAAGAAAGAAAAAAGTATTTGTGAGTAAAAACGGAGGAAAAGAAAAAAAGAGAAAAAAGAAACATAAGCATAAAAAAGAAGTAACATGACAAGAAAGAAAGAAAGAAAGAAAGAAAGAAAGAAAGAAAGAAAGAAAGAAAGAAAGAAAAGAAAGAAAGAATATAAAAAAATTATAAACTAGCGGATAAAATTTGTCGTGGAAAACGAAGAAAAATAAATGTTACTTCAAAGAAACAAAGAAAGAAATTTTCGGAAAAATTGAAGGAAAAAGAATGAAGAAGAGTGAGAGAGTTGAAACATAAAAAAATAAACCTGAAAAGAAAGTCGCCGCAAAAAGAGACAAAAGAGAGAAAGAATGAAACAATGCTTGAATATAAAAGAAATATAAATTTACCCATCAAGAAAATAAAAATAAACAATTTAAGCTAGAAAGAAAGAAATATCTTTTTCTGAAAAGTGGAGGAAAAGCTTAAGAAAGAAAAAATATAAAGAGAGAGTTAAGAAAAACAGAAAGTAAGAATAAACAACATAAAAACATTTTTAAAAGTAATGAAAAATGGGTTTTGAATGTCAACAGTGTTTATCACAAAATGAGAAACCACTCGTGACACCAAAACTTGGTCTCCTTCCACAGAAGACAATGTTTTGTGTATGGTGGAATATGAAAGGTGTCACCCATTATGAGCTAAGTACAACAGGAAACAACCACCACTGCTAAGACGTTCATTAAGAGCAACTTGAATAGATAAACAAAGAATTACATCACAAGTGCCCTTAGTATATAGAAATGTTATTATTCTTCAGAATGACAGAGCTAGAGCAGATTCTGCAAAGACACCCGAAAAAAATTGTTAGGTTCAGTTCTTCCACATCCATCATAGTCACCACATTGAACTGAAAAATTCAGATACAAATTTGAAAATTGTCTTTCAGGGTTTTTCGGATAAAAACATCGATTTCTTTAAGTTTAGTATCGAAACATGCGAGTAAAAATAGATTTTTTAAACGTGAAATCAAAAATTTGCTTACCCGTTTGGCTAGCAGACGTTCAAATTGAAGATAATTGCATTTTTTCATTAATCTTCATATACGTCTTGATTCCTTGGGGAACACAGGGCCGCAACAACACCTCTCCAACGGACTCGGTTTCGGTTGATCCTCTTCAGCTCGGCCCATGTCGTGCCGACTGCCTTCACCTCGGCGTCAACACTTCTACGCCAAATTTGTTTTGGTCGACCCACTTTTCGCTTCCCTTCTGGATTCCAGACAAGAGCATGCCTGGTCATACCAGAAGCAGGTTTGCGGCGTGTGTGGCCGATCCATTCCCATTTCTGTTTGACGTTAATCTCGATTGGGGATAGTCTGGTTCTGTTCCACAGTTGGTCGTTGGAGACGACTTCCGGTCACCTGATATTAAGGATTTTCCTGAGACATCGGTTGGTAAATGTCTGAAGTTTGTGGGTGTTGGTCTTGGTTACCCGCTAGGTTTCTGAGCCGTAAAGTAGGACCGACTTGAAGTTAGTTTTGAAAAGTGAGAGGGCTGTTGATCTCCATATTGGTCGCAGAGGGTTGAAAACGTGTCGGGATTTGTTGATTCGACACTTGATATCTTCATTTTTCCCCGCCATCTTTACTGATGACGCTTCCCAGGTGGAAAAAATCATCGACTTCTTGATGTAATCGCACTGGGTCTTGTCTGTTGTTTACCCTCATGACCTCCGTCTTCCCGGTGTTGATTTGGAGACCAGCCTTCTCAGCTTCTTCTGCAACACGACTCGGCTTCTCCTGCGCATCTTGTTGTTTGTGGGAGAGAAGGTTGATATAGTCTGTGAAGTCCAGATCTTCCAGCTTCTTCATGCATGTCCAATGTAAACCAGTTCCTCTGTCTGCCGCATTATCTAGTCAACCACCAGCAGGAGAATCGTCGGCGACAGCAGGCATTTCTGGCGAACGCCAATTTGCACGGAGTATGGTTCCGTCAACTTCTCATCATGAATGACTTGACAGGTGGCATCTTCATATATTTTTTTCGTGAATAACATTTAAATAAACGAAAATGACATTTTGTTTTTAAACCTTACTTGTAAACCGTATTTTCTTTCCGAACAATTTTATTGCCCAACAAATTGGGCACTGCGATATGGAGTAATGGTTAACAATCTTATCTTGCAAATTCAATTACGACTGACTAGTGAGTTTGATCCTCATTGGGTGCTTTATAATTTCGGCCTTGTACCACATCTAAGCTTCGCTTAATAAATCGATATCTTGGAAGAAATTTAACTTACATTTGTTTTTTATATATATTTTGGCAAAACGTCATTAATTTCTGAACATTTTAATATTGATCAGTTTGGAAAAAATCAACTGAAAAATTAAAAAAAAAAACTAATAGCAAATATTTATCAAATTAAAATTTGTTTTACATTTAATTAACCTTCATGGCAATTTTGTAAGTTTTTCGTTTTTTTCCATTGATAGCAAATATATTCTTCATCTAAACAATTTCAGTTGAACAAGAAATAAAAAATAAAAAAATTAACACACAAATCGATTTGCATCTGTAAATATTTTCCAGTTTGATAGATTCTTCCTGCAGTACACCAGGCTAACATGTTTGGAACGTTTTCTTTTTTTCTCACGTAATTTAAGATTGTAAAACAAAACAAAACAAATAATTCTTAAAACACGGCTCTGCCTCTTGGAAATGTCTTCAGGTAACCGACAGCATCGGTATTATGCCCCACCCTTTTCAGCGACCCGGAAGGGCGTTGTTCTAAAACACACCCGAGACACTATGGGCCTTTTTATGCCAGAGATAAGATTTTCAAGATGGAATACTACTAACGGCTAAGTACGGACATTT